ATCGATTTATCGTAATGTTCGGTTTTGAGTCCTTAACAGGATTCTTAACAGTCATTGCAAGTTTACTTTGAACAAATCAGAGTGCTTCAAACAGGCGTTTTCGCTTGAATGATCGTGCATGGAATAATAGAAAACGATTTCGGTTCAGTTTTATTGGTTTTACGGACTGAGATAATGGTTAACAGAGACAAACGGGGGCATTTGTATGGCCCCGTGAGAGGTGAAATTCTTGGACCGTGGCCAGACGAACTACAGCGAAAGCATTTGCCAAGAATGTCTTCATTAATCAAGAACGAAAGTCATCAAGAACGAAAGTCTTTTTTTCTCTATATTTTAAAAAAAAACAAAATTCCTAGCCTTTCCGGTGGATCACTAGGCTCGTGGATCGATGAAGAACGCAGCAAACTGCGATAAGTTTTGCGAACTGCAGCAGCCTTGAGCATAAAAGTTTTGAACGCATATTGCCGCATAGGGGTCAAACCCTTTGCTATGTCTGGTTCAGGGTCATTTTCTTTCAAAGCGAAAGCTTTATTGTATAATTGCTTTTGTGGCTTCTTTATGTTTTAAATTGATTGTTAGATATGTTTAATTGTTCGCATGTATCATCAACAATATTAATTTTTTGACCTGAACTCAGTCGAGAGCACCCGCTGAACTTAAGCATATCAGTAAGCGGAGGAAAAGAAACTAAACAGGATTCCCCCAGTAACGGCGAGTGAATAGGGAAATGTCCATCGCTAAATCATTTTGCCTAAGGCATTATGAGGTGTAGCGTATAAGCCGTAATTTTTAATCTTTTGTCTCAAATAAGTCCCCTTGACAGGGGTTCCACAGAAGGTGCAAGTCCTGTACATTGAGATAATTGATCGATATTTACGTGCTTTAGAGTCGGGTTGTTTGGGATCGCAGCCCAAAGTCGGTGGTAAACTTCATCTAAGACTCAATATTGCCACGAGACCGATAGCAAACAAGTACTGTGAAGGAAAGTTGCAAAGCACTTTGAAGAGAGAGTTAAAGAGGACGTGAAACCGGAGAGGTGGAAACGGATAGAGTCGGCGTATCTTTCAAGTATTCATTTACATTATTTTTATGTTGTGATCTCTGAGCTCCAGATTGGGACAGAAAGAAGCATCATAATTTTCTGTGATGCATTTGCTTGTTTGGTGCTTGGGGATGTTTGAGGCAGATTTGTAACCGCCGTTTTGAGGCCAGCTTGCTGGTACCCAAACAGCGTTAGCATCTTTTGTCTTGGACATTTGAGTATGGCTTACGGGCATTTATTGGTTCGATCTGATTGTAAGTTACGGTCGCATGCGACACGTGCTTTTCATTTAGATCGGTCCAGTTAATGCTCTCGTACTCGCTCCCCATGTAAAAGCCGGTCATCTATCCGACCCGTCTTGAAACACGGACCAAGGAGTTTATCGTGTGCGCAAGTTTTTGGGTGTTAAAAACCTAAAAGCGAAATGAAAGTAAATGGCTCTTTAGAGTCTGATGTGAGATCTTGTAAAAAAGGGCAGCATGGCCCCATTCTAACTGTTTACAGTAGGGTGGAGGAAGAGCGTACGCGGTGAGACCCGAAAGATGGTGAACTATTCCTGAGCAGGACGAAGCCAGAGGAAACTCTGGTGGAAGTCCGAAGCGGTTCTGACGTGCAAATCGATCGTCTGACTTGGGTATAGGGGCGAAAGACTAATCGAACCATCTAGTAGCTGGTTCCCTCTGAAGTTTCCCCCAGGATAGCTGGAGCTCATTAGTAGTTATACTCGGTAAAGCGAATGATTAGAGGACTTGGGAACGAAATGTTCTTAACCTATTCTCAAACTCTAAATGGGTATGATGTCAAAGTTGCTTGATTTTGAACTTTGGCGTTGAATACGAGTTCCAAGTGGGCCATTTTTGGTAAGCAGAACTGGCGATGTGGGATGAACCAAACGCGGAGTTGAGGTGCCAAAGTGCCCGCTCATTAGACACCATAAAAGGTGTTGGTTGATACAGACAGCAGGACGGTGGCCATGGAAGTCGGAATCCGCTAAGGAGTGTGTAACAACTCACCTGCCGAATCAACTAGCCCTGAAAATGGATGGCGCTGGAGCGGGCCACCTATACTCTGCCGTCATATGCTTGTATTTTCCGTGAAAAGTCTTGCAATGACGTGTAAGAGGGTCGTAGTGGTTGCAATGAAGGCTTTGGGTGTGCACCCAGCTGGAGCTTCCACTAGTGCAGATCTTGGTGGTAGTAGCAAATATTCAAGTGAGATCCTTGAAGACTGAAGTGGAGAAGGGTTCCACGTGAACAGTAGTTGAATGTGGGTCAGTCGATCCTAAGGCACCGGCTAAAGCCGTCTAGACACTGCGGGGAGATGAGATACTTAACGGTATATTGTCTACTCGGTTGCCGAAAGGGAAGTGGGTTAATATTCCCACACCAGGCATGGGAGATGGTGATCCGCAAGGATTACTTTGCGCGGTGACGCAAACGAACTCGTAGACCTCGTGTGGAGTCCGGGCCAGAGTTCTCTTTTCTGGTTTAGAGATCATGTCCCTGGAAGTGGCTCAGCCTGAGATAGGGATGCTGGTCTCGTAAAGCGCAGCGGTTCCTGTTGTGTCAGTGTGCTCCACATGAGCCATGAAAATACGAGGGAGGCAATTTAAAATCTCCTGCCTGATCGTACCCATATCCGCAGCAGGTCTCCAAGGTGAACAGCCTCTAGTCGATAGAATAATGTAGGTAAGGGAAGTCGGCAAATTAGATTCGTAACTTCGGGAAAAGAATTGGCTCTAAAGGTTGGGTCAGTCGGGCTGTTGTGTGAAACAGGTGGACTTTGCTCGTGGCTGCTTGATCTTCCCTTCGGGGCGGCGCTTGTGGACTAGTAGTGAGGACTGCTTGTGGAGCGCTTCAGCTGCGTACTATTTCGAAAGATATAGTACTTCGATTGGCGCTGAACAACCAGTTTAGAACTGGCACGAACTCCGGGAATCCGACTGTCTAATTAAAACAGAGGAGACGGATGGTCTTTGCAGGACGTTGACCGTGTCTGATTTCTGCCCAGTGCTCTGAATGTTAAGCCAAGGAAACTTGATTAAGCGCGGGTAAACGGCGGGAGTAACTATGACTCTCTTAAGGTAGCCAAATGCCTCGTCGGCTAACTACCGACGCGCACGAATGGATCAACGAGATTCCCACTGTCCCTATCTACTATCTAGCGAAACCACAGCCAAGGGAACGGGCTTGGCAAATTTAGCGGGGAAAGAAGACCCTGTTGAGCTTGACTCTAGTCTGACTTTGTGAAGAATCATGAGAGGTGTAGCATAAGTGGGAGTCGTAAGACAACAGTGAAATACCACTACTTTCATCGATTCCTTACTTAATCGGTAAAACGGGAGTTGTGTCTACGGACCTTCATTTTTGTTTTAAGACTAGCCACTCGGTGGTTGGTTGACTCGCGCCGATGACATTGTCAGGCGGGGAGTTTGACTGGGGCGGTACATCTGTCAAATTGTAACGCAGGTGTCCTAAGGCGAGCTCAGAGAGGACGGAAACCTCTCGTTGAGCAAAAAGGCAAATGCTTACTTGATCTTGATTTTCAGTACGAATACAGACCGCGAAAGCGTGGCTTATCGATTTATAAAAAAGTTAAATAATTGTTTTCTATAGACTCAAGTGTGTTTTCTTAGACTCAAGTTTTTGCCAAAGCATTAAAAAAAGATTACGACACCCCCGATTCCCAGGACGTCTCCGTTCCAAGTACTAAGGAAGCCCAGCGTTGCTTAACTTGCCAGATCGGACGGGATGGCGTGCTTTCAACGCGGTAAATTGCCTCAGGCAAAGTAGACCAAAGTGCAATTGACCAAGTGTCGTAGGGTTCAGGCAATAGGGTTCCCCCAGGCAATCAAATTTCACCAGGCATTTTTGGTTTATGAGTCTGTGACGATCCGATTAAAAATTGCCTCAGGCAAAGTAGACCAAAGTGCAATTGACCAAGTGTCGTAGGGTTCAGGCAATAGGGTTCCCCCAGGCAATCAAATTTCACCAGGCATTTTTGGTTTATGAGTCTGTGACGATCCGATTAAAAATCCCCCCCCCCCCCAGTCAATCAAATTTACCCAAGGCAATCAAATAATCGACTCAAGTAAAATATATACTCAAGTAAAGGTATGTATATATAAACTACAATTTATAAAAAAGTTAAATAATTGTTTTCTATAGACTCAAGTGTGTTTTCTTAGACTCAAGTTTTTGCCAAAGCATTAAAAAAAGATTACGACACCCCCGATTCCCAGGACGTCTCCGTTCCAAGTACTAAGGAAGCCCAGCGTTGCTTAACTTGCCAGATCGGACGGGATGGCGTGCTTTCAACGCGGTATGGTCGTAATCACTGTGTTTTCAATTTCTCAATATTTAAGAAAAAATTCTCTAAGGCAAAGTGGGCGGGGCTATTTGTTGTTCGCTGTTCGCGGGAATGGTTTAAGGCAAAAAGAAAATGGGCAATTATAAAAATGTGTGGGAGGAAAATTAGGATTAAAAAAATTTTTTTGAAGAATTAAATTTTTTAAAAAAAATAAAGCTTATAATAATAAACTTTAATCTTTTTTTAAATTTAAAGTTTATTATTATAAGCTTTATTTTTTTAAAAAATTTACTGTTATTATTATATTAAGCTTTATTATCAGTTTATTTTAAAGCAGCTTTATTCTAAATCTGATAATAATCATAAGCTTTATAATCCTAATTTTTCTCCAGCTGCAATATTTATTTGGCTCCAGACAATTGTCAGGAATTGCCATTGATAACTTTTGTGAAAGTGCCGCTGATAAATTGTAAATAATTTAGATATCTTTTGCAAAGGAAATTAAATATATAATAAGCTGTCATTAATTTTTAATTTCAGATTATTTTCGAGATTTTATTCCAAAATTATCAATATAATCAATATTAATGACAGCTTAATTACCCGCAGACTGGGTAATTCCAGCTCTGCTAACTACCTAAATAAAAGATATCTGGTTGATCCTGCCTGAACTGATGTGTTCATTTCAAAGATTAAGCCATGCATGTATAAGTTTAATCGTTTTAACGAGAAACCGCGAACGGCTCATTACAATGGCCATGATTTACTTGATCTTGATTATCTAAATGGATAACTGTGGAAAAGCTAGAGCTAATACATGCACCAAAGCTTTGTCCTCACGGAAAAGCGCATTTATTAGAACAAAACCACGCGGCTTCGGCTGCTTCTTGTTGACTCAGAATAACTAAGCTGACCGCATGGCCTTGTGCCGGCGGCGTGTCTTTCAAGCGTCCACTTTATCAACTTGACGGGAGCATAATCGACTCCCGTGGTGGTGACGGATAACGGAGGATCAGGGTTCGACTCCGGAGAAGGGGCCTGAGAAATGGCCACTACGTCTAAGGATGGCAGCAGGCGCGCAAATTACCCACTCTCGGCTCGAGGAGGTAGTGACGAGAAATAACGAGACTGTTCTCTTTGAGGCCGGTCATCGGAATGGGTACAATTTAAACCCTTTAACGAGTATCAAGCAGAGGGCAAGTCTGGTGCCAGCAGCCGCGGTAATTCCAGCTCTGCTAATACATAGAATTATTGCTGCGGTTAAAAAGCTCGTAGTTGGATTCGTATCGGTACCTTGGAACCCTTCGGGTGTTTCTGGGTGTTATCGATTTATCGTAATGTTCGGTTTTGAGTCCTTAACAGGATTCTTAACAGTCATTGCAAGTTTACTTTGAACAAATCAGAGTGCTTCAAACAGGCGTTTTCGCTTGAATGATCGTGCATGGAATAATAGAAAACGATTTCGGTTCAGTTTTATTGGTTTTACGGACTGAGATAATGGTTAACAGAGACAAACGGGGGCATTTGTATGGCCCCGTGAGAGGTGAAATTCTTGGACCGAGTGTCGTAGGGTTCAGGCAATAGGGTTCCCCCAGGCAATCAAATTTCACCAGGCATTTTTGGTTTATGAGTCTGTGACGATCCGATTAAAAATCCCCCCCCCCCAGTCAATCAAATTTACCCAAGGCAATCAAATAATCGACTCAAGTAAAATATATACTCAAGTAAAGGTATGTATATATAAACTACAATTTATAAAAAAGTTAAATAATTGTTTTCTATAGACTCAAGTGTGTTTTCTTAGACTCAAGTTTTTGCCAAAGCATTAAAAAAAGATTACGACTGTTAGGGTGGCGGCTTAGTATAAAAGGCGAAGCCTTTTAGTAGTCGGAGAGTTAGTTGTTAGTCTATAGTCAGTCTAGTCTTAGTGTTATTCTAGTCGGAGCCAACGCATAGTCTCGCCTATTTCTATTGTATTGTTGCTTGTGATAAACCTTTGTTTGTTAGTCGAGTCTTTCTGTTAGTATCGGACACACCGCAAGTCGATACGTAACAGTGGCGCGGTCGCACAGCTAAACTCGTATAAAATCGAGTAGTCAACTACCAAGTCAAAAATGAGTTTTGCAAAGACAATTCATGAGTGGTACAAGTCTAAATTCGAAAAGAGAGAAACAGTAGAAATTCTATCAGTCGGAACAGTCCAGAAATTCGATTGGCTAAAAAAAGATGTTGTATTAAATGGAGTGAATGTTGAGTTTATTCTTGATTCGGGGGCACAAATCAGTTGTATCACTGAAGATACGTGGAAATTAGTCGGAAGCCCAGTCTTGTCAGAAGTCGAATTTTCTGGGAAAAGTTATACAGGTCATGAGTTTACGATTCTCGGGAATTTTGAATGCACAGTCGGACTTAACGAAGTCGAAGAAAAGATGGTAGTTTATGTAACTAAGGCAAGGATGAATCTCTTTGGTCTGCCATGGATAGTCGCATTCGAAAACAAATTAGGATTCCCGATAGTTACAAGTCTAAACAAAGCGGAACCTAAAGATATAGTCGGAAAAGAAAATGAAGTATTTATGGTCCATGACAGTAAAAAAAGTATAGAGGAGGAATTGAAGGCGAAATTTAGTCAAGTATTCGAACCAGGATTAGGCAATTGTAGTAAAATAAAAGCACATCTCCATTTGAAAAAGGGAACAAAACCAGTCTTTATTAGAGCAAGACCAGTCCCGCTCGGAGTCAAAAAGTCAGTTGAGGAAGAAATAGACAGATTGTTGAATATTGGTGCAATTAAACCAATCGAATTCGCGGATTGGGCTGCTCCTATTCTAGCAGTCAGGAAACAAAACGGAAAGGTCAGAGTCTGTATTGACTATTCAACAGGCTTAAATGAAGCATTAGAGTTAAACAAATACCCATTGCCGACTCCGCAAGAAATATGGTCAGAAATGCACGGTAGCAAAGTCTTTTCGCAATTAGATTTACGGGATGCCTATCTTCAAGTCGAATTAGATGAGGCATCTAAGAAATTAACGAATATTAATACCCATAGAGGGTTATTCGAAGTCCAACGATTACCATTCGGTGTAAAGTCAGCGCCAGCGATATTCCAAAAGTTAATGGATGAACTAATAAGTGGTTTGGAAGGAGTATTCGCATATTTAGACGATTTGATAATAGTCTCAAAAAATGAAAAGGACCATAAAAAGACATTATTAGAGTTATTCGGAAGAATTCAAAATTATAATCTAAAGATTCAGCTAGAGAAATGTAATTTCTTCAAGTCGGAATTGAAATTCCTGGGTCATATAGTCTCGGAGGAAGGAATAAAACCCGACCCAGAAAAGAAAGCAATCATTCAGAAATTACCGAGACCCACAGATGTTAAAGAGTTAAAGTCGGTCATGGGCTCGATAAATTATTATTCAAAGTTTGTAAAAGAATTACACGAAATAAGAGGACCATTGGATGAATTACTCCAAAAGGGTAAAGAATGGAAATGGCAAGATAAGCAAGAACAAGCATTCAACCGAGTAAAGTCAATTCTAAGTTCGGAGCTTATGCTAACGCATTTTGACCCCCAATATGAAATCATAGTCACGGCAGATGCCTCAAATTATGGAGTAGGAGCAATGATTGCCCACAAATTCCCAGACGGATCAGAGAGAGCAATTGAATATGCAAGTAAGTCATTGAGTCTGTCAGAAAAGAATTATGGTCAAATTGAGAAAGAAGGTCTGGCACTAGTATTTGCAGTCCAAAAATTCCACAAAATGTTATTTGGGCGTAAATTCAGACTTAGAACGGACCATAAACCATTAGTCGCAATATTTGGAAGTAAGAAAGGAATTAAAGTCCAAACTGCCTCGAGATTACAAAGATGGGCATTAATTCTGACGAATTACGATTTCAGTATTGAGTTTGTAAGTACAGATAAAATGGGGATGGCAGATAGTCTTTCAAGATTAATAAAGAAAAATAACGACACAGAAGATAAAGTAATTGCCATAGTCGAAGAATTTAACGAAACATATTCGGGACCTCCGCGAGAAATTAGTCTAGTAGAGGAAACAGTTAAGGAAGTCTTGCATGTTATGTTGGAAGAAATTCCGATAGATAGTAGTCGAGTCAAAATGGAAACAGGAAAAGACCGAGTATTGAATGAAGTCATGAAGAATATTAGTAAAGCCTGGCCAAAGAAAGTCGATAATTCTGAAATGAAATTTTGGTCAGAGAGAAGACAAAATCTACAAATAGTTGAAGGGTGCTTAATGTTTGCAAACAAAGTAGTCATTCCTAAATCGTTGAGAAAAGAAATTCTAGAGACACTACATGAAACCCATGCAGGAATAGTCAGAATGAAAAATCTGGCAAGAGAGTATATTTATTGGCCAGGAATAAGTCAAGAGATTGAAGCATTAGCAGTAAATTGCCAGGCATGCCAAGAAGCAGCAAAAATGCCAGTCAAGGTTGAATTAAGTCCGTGGCCAGTACCAAGTAAAGTTTGGGAGAGAATTCACCTTGATTTTGCAGGCCCGTGTAAGGACGGAAAAACATATTTGATTTTGATTGACGCGTATTCAAAGTGGCCTGAAATATTCGGTAATACAACAACCAGCGCAAAAAATGCTTTAAAACATTTAGATTGGACTTTTACCCGTTATGGGTTTCCAAAAACCATAGTCTCAGACAACGGCAGTCCATTCCAATCGTATGAATTTAAGAGTTATTGTAGAAGTAAAGGAATAAGTCAAAAATTCAGTCCACCTTATCACCCACAGTCAAACGGACAAGTCGAGAGATTCGTTGATTATTTTAAAAGAATGATGATGAAAAATTGGGGAAAACCCAACTGGGTTGAAGAAGTGTTATTCAATTATAGAGCCTCGCCTCATGAGTCATTAATGGGCAAATCCCCTGCAGAAGAATTCTTAGGTAGAAAGTTGAGGACAAAATTGGCATTAGTCTATCCAGAAAGGCCAAATTCAAAAGATCCTGCAAGGGAGCGAATTCGAAGTAAAATGAAGACATGGTTTGATAAACATCACGGAGCCAGAGTCAGAGAATTCAAAATAGGAGATAAAGTTCAGTTTACAAATTATAGCAGAAATAAAAACAAAGAATGGTTAGTCGGAAATATAGTAGCACAAAAGGGAGTTGTAATTAAGATTCAGTCTGAAAGATTAAGGGCTATAGTCACTAGACATATTAATCAGATAAGAACGTTAAGTCCGATAAGTGCAAATCAAGGCGAAGCACAACAGTCTGTAAACACTTGGGTGAGAAATTCGGAGCAAAATAATATTCAGAATACACCACAAGTTAGCCCAATAAAAAATGTAGTTAGTCCAATAAGAAATATTCAAATTCGACAAAGAAATATGTCAAGTCCAAGAGAACTAGGGAAAAGAATAATTAGGCCAACAAAAAGATTAGTAGTGGAAAACACAAAGTCGAAGTATTACAGAGAAGAACCTATTCGATTTGGCATAAATTATATTGCGCAGTCAGATAACAGCAAAGGAAGCCAACAGATGAGCCAAGGCACGGGAGCACTGAGAAGGGAGATGATCGGAAATAGAGGGGATGTAAATAGGAAGTAAATAATTGTGATAATATTGTTTTTGTAAATTTTTGTTTGTAATTATTGTATATCCCGCTTTTTGTTGCTCACATTGTATTTTGGCCCTTTGTATGTATTTTCAATGTTTTATTTGTGTTGGCTAGTAGTATTTTGAAGTCCACCAAGTCTAGTTGGAAAAGTCGGAAACATAGTCCCGACTTAATTAAAGAAGGGAGGTGTTAGGGTGGCGGCTTAGTATAAAAGGCGAAGCCTTTTAGTAGTCGGAGAGTTAGTTGTTAGTCTATAGTCAGTCTAGTCTTAGTGTTATTCTAGTCGGAGCCAACGCATAGTCTCGCCTATTTCTATTGTATTGTTGCTTGTGATAAACCTTTGTTTGTTAGTCGAGTCTTTCTGTTAGTATCGGACACACCGCAAGTCGATACGTAACAACGACACCCCCGATTCCCAGGACGTCTCCGTTCCAAGTACTAAGGAAGCCCAGCGTTGCTTAACTTGCCAGATCGGACGGGATGGCGTGCTTTCAACGCGGTATGGTCGTAATCACTGTGTTTTCAATTTCTCAATATTTAAGAAAAAATTCTCTAAGGCAAAGTGGGCGGGGCTATTTGTTGTTCGCTGTTCGCGGGAATGGTTTAAGGCAAAAAGAAAATGGGCAATTATAAAAATGTGTGGGAGGAAAATTAGGATTAAAAAAATTTTTTTGAAGAATTAAATTTTTTAAAAAAAATAAAGCTTATAATAATAAACTTTAATCTTTTTTTAAATTTAAAGTTTATTATTATAAGCTTTATTTTTTTAAAAAATTTACTGTTATTATTATATTAAGCTTTATTATCAGTTTATTTTAAAGCAGCTTTATTCTAAATCTGATAATAATCATAAGCTTTATAATCCTAATTTTTCTCCAGCTGCAATATTTATTTGGCTCCAGACAATTGTCAGGAATTGCCATTGATAACTTTTGTGAAAGTGCCGCTGATAAATTGTAAATAATTTAGATATCTTTTGCAAAGGAAATTAAATATATAATAAGCTGTCATTAATTTTTAATTTCAGATTATTTTCGAGATTTTATTCCAAAATTATCAATATAATCAATATTAATGACAGCTTAATTACCCGCAGACTGGGTAATTCCAGCTCTGCTAACTACCTAAATAAAAGATATCTGGTTGATCCTGCCTGAACTGATGTGTTCATTTCAAAGATTAAGCCATGCATGTAACGAACGGCTCATTACAATGGCCATGATTTACTTGATCTTGATTATCTAAATGGATAACTGTGGAAAAGCTAGAGCTAATACATGCACCAAAGCTTTGTCCTCACGGAAAAGCGCATTTATTAGAACAAAACCACGCGGCTTCGGCTGCTTCTTGTTGACTCAGAATAACTAAGCTGACCGCATGGCCTTGTGCCGGCGGCGTGTCTTTCAAGCGTCCACTTTATCAACTTGACGGGAGCATAATCGACTCCCGTGGTGGTGACGGATAACGGAGGATCAGGGTTCGACTCCGGAGAAGGGGCCTGAGAAATGGCCACTACGTCTAAGGATGGCAGCAGGCGCGCAAATTACCCACTCTCGGCTCGAGGAGGTAGTGACGAGAAATAACGAGACTGTTCTCTTTGAGGCCGGTCATCGGAATGGGTACAATTTAAACCCTTTAACGAGTATCAAGCAGAGGGCAAGTCTGGTGCCAGCAGCCGCGGTAATTCCAGCTCTGCTAATACATAGAATTATTGCTGCGGTTAAAAAGCTCGTAGTTGGATTCGTATCGGTACCTTGGAACCCTTCGGGTGTTTCTGGGTGTTATCGATTTATCGTAATGTTCGGTTTTGAGTCCTTAACAGGATTCTTAACAGTCATTGCAAGTTTACTTTGAACAAATCAGAGTGCTTCAAACAGGCGTTTTCGCTTGAATGATCGTGCATGGAATAATAGAAAACGATTTCGGTTCAGTTTTATTGGTTTTACGGACTGAGATAATGGTTAACAGAGACAAACGGGGGCATTTGTATGGCCCCGTGAGAGGTGAAATTCTTGGACCGTGGCCAGACAAACTACAGCGAAAGCATTTGCCAAGAATGTCTTCATTAATCAAGAACGAAAGTCAGAGGTTCGAAGGCGATCAGATACCGCCCTAGTTCTGACCGTAAACGATGCCAACTAGCGATCCGCTGATGGAAATTATATTGCCTTGGTGGGGAGCTTCCCGGAAACGAAAGTCTTCCGGTTCCGGGGGAAGTATGGTTGCAAAGCTGAAACTTAAAGGAATTGACGGAAGGGCACCACCAGGAGTGGAGCCTGCGGCTTAATTTGACTCAACACGGGGAAACTCACCCGGCCCGGACACTGTGAGGATTGACAGATTGATAGCTTTTTCATGATTCAGTGGATGGTGGTGCATGGCCGTTCTTAGTTCGTGGAGTGATTTGTCTGGTTTATTCCGATAACGAGCGAGACTCTAACCTACTAAATAGTTAATCGGATCGTCACAGACTCATAAACCAAAAATGCCTGGTGAAATTTGATTGCCTGGGGGAACCCTATTGCCTGAACCCTACGACACTTGGTCAATTGCACTTTGGTCTACTTTGCCTGAGACTATAATGAGTTTAAGACTTAATGAGCCTCTTAAGTGAGGACGCCAGCACTCTTTTTTTCTCTATATTTTAAAAAAAAACAAAATTCCTAGCCTTTCCGGTGGATCACTAGGCTCGTGGATCGATGAAGAACGCAGCAAACTGCGATAAGTTTTGCGAACTGCAGCAGCCTTGAGCATAAAAGTTTTGAACGCATATTGCCGCATAGGGGTCAAACCCTTTGCTATGTCTGGTTCAGGGTCATTTTCTTTCAAAGCGAAAGCTTTATTGTATAATTGCTTTTGTGGCTTCTTTATGTTTTAAATTGATTGTTAGATATGTTTAATTGTTCGCATGTATCATCAACAATATTAATTTTTTGACCTGAACTCAGTCGAGAGCACCCGCTGAACTTAAGCATATCAGTAAGCGGAGGAAAAGAAACTAAACAGGATTCCCCCAGTAACGGCGAGTGAATAGGGAAATGTCCATCGCTAAATCATTTTGCCTAAGGCATTATGAGGTGTAGCGTATAAGCCGTAATTTTTAATCTTTTGTCTCAAATAAGTCCCCTTGACAGGGGTTCCACAGAAGGTGCAAGTCCTGTACATTGAGATAATTGATCGATATTTACGTGCTTTAGAGTCGGGTTGTTTGGGATCGCAGCCCAAAGTCGGTGGTAAACTTCATCTAAGACTCAATATTGCCACGAGACCGATAGCAAACAAGTACTGTGAAGGAAAGTTGCAAAGCACTTTGAAGAGAGAGTTAAAGAGGACGTGAAACCGGAGAGGTGGAAACGGATAGAGTCGGCGTATCTTTCAAGTATTCATTTACATTATTTTTATGTTGTGATCTCTGAGCTCCAGATTGGGACAGAAAGAAGCATCATAATTTTCTGTGATGCATTTGCTTGTTTGGTGCTTGGGGATGTTTGAGGCAGATTTGTAACCGCCGTTTTGAGGCCAGCTTGCTGGTACCCAAACAGCGTTAGCATCTTTTGTCTTGGACATTTGAGTATGGCTTACGGGCATTTATTGGTTCGATCTGATTGTAAGTTACGGTCGCATGCGACACGTGCTTTTCATTTAGATCGGTCCAGTTAATGCTCTCGTACTCGCTCCCCATGTAAAAGCCGGTCATCTATCCGACCCGTCTTGAAACACGGACCAAGGAGTTTATCGTGTGCGCAAGTTTTTGGGTGTTAAAAACCTAAAAGCGAAATGAAAGTAAATGGCTCTTTAGAGTCTGATGTGAGATCTTGTAAAAAAGGGCAGCATGGCCCCATTCTAACTGTTTACAGTAGGGTGGAGGAAGAGCGTACGCGGTGAGACCCGAAAGATGGTGAACTATTCCTGAGCAGGACGAAGCCAGAGGAAACTCTGGTGGAAGTCCGAAGCGGTTCTGACGTGCAAATCGATCGTCTGACTTGGGTATAGGGGCGAAAGACTAATCGAACCATCTAGTAGCTGGTTCCCTCTGAAGTTTCCCCCAGGATAGCTGGAGCTCATTAGTAGTTATACTCGGTAAAGCGAATGATTAGAGGATGAATTACCATTGGATGAATTACTCCAAAAGGGTAAAGAATGGAAATGGCAAGATAAGCAAGAACAAGCATTCAACCGAGTAAAGTCAATTCTAAGTTCGGAGCTTATGCTAACGCATTTTGACCCCCAATATGAAATCATAGTCACGGCAGATGCCTCAAATTATGGAGTAGGAGCAATGATTGCCCACAAATTCCCAGACGGATCAGAGAGAGCAATTGAATATGCAAGTAAGTCATTGAGTCTGTCAGAAAAGAATTATGGTCAAATTGAGAAAGAAGGTCTGGCACTAGTATTTGCAGTCCAAAAATTCCACAAAATGTTATTTGGGCGTAAATTCAGACTTAGAACGGACCATAAACCATTAGTCGCAATATTTGGAAGTAAGAAAGGAATTAAAGTCCAAACTGCCTCGAGATTACAAAGATGGGCATTAATTCTGACGAATTACGATTTCAGTATTGAGTTTGTAAGTACAGATAAAATGGGGATGGCAGATAGTCTTTCAAGATTAATAAAGAAAAATAACGACACAGAAGATAAAGTAATTGCCATAGTCGAAGAATTTAACGAAACATATTCGGGACCTCCGCGAGAAATTAGTCTAGTAGAGGAAACAGTTAAGGAAGTCTTGCATGTTATGTTGGAAGAAATTCCGATAGATAGTAGTCGAGTCAAAATGGAAACAGGAAAAGACCGAGTATTGAATGAAGTCATGAAGAATATTAGTAAAGCCTGGCCAAAGAAAGTCGATAATTCTGAAATGAAATTTTGGTCAGAGAGAAGACAAAATCTACAAATAGTTGAAGGGTGCTTAATGTTTGCAAACAAAGTAGTCATTCCTAAATCGTTGAGAAAAGAAATTCTAGAGACACTACATGAAACCCATGCAGGAATAGTCAGAATGAAAAATCTGGCAAGAGAGTATATTTATTGGCCAGGAATAAGTCAAGAGATTGAAGCATTAGCAGTAAATTGCCAGGCATGCCAAGAAGCAGCAAAAATGCCAGTCAAGGTTGAATTAAGTCCGTGGCCAGTACCAAGTAAAGTTTGGGAGAGAATTCACCTTGATTTTGCAGGCCCGTGTAAGGACGGAAAAACATATTTGATTTTGATTGACGCGTATTCAAAGTGGCCTGAAATATTCGGTAATACAACAACCAGCGCAAAAAATGCTTTAAAACATTTAGATTGGACTTTTACCCGTTATGGGTTTCCAAAAACCATAGTCTCAGACAACGGCAGTCCATTCCAATCGTATGAATTTAAGAGTTATTGTAGAAGTAAAGGAATAAGTCAAAAATTCAGTCCACCTTATCACCCACAGTCAAACGGACAAGTCGAGAGATTCGTTGATTATTTTAAAAGAATGATGATGAAAAATTGGGGAAAACCCAACTGGGTTGAAGAAGTGTTATTCAATTATAGAGCCTCGCCTCATGAGTCATTAATGGGCAAATCCCCTGCAGAAGAATTCTTAGGTAGAAAGTTGAGGACAAAATTGGCATTAGTCTATCCAGAAAGGCCAAATTCAAAAGATCCTGCAAGGGAGCGAATTCGAAGTAAAATGAAGACATGGTTTGATAAACATCACGGAGCCAGAGTCAGAGAATTCAAAATAGGAGATAAAGTTCAGTTTACAAATTATAGCAGAAATAAAAACAAAGAATGGTTAGTCGGAAATATAGTAGCACAAAAGGGAGTTGTAATTAAGATTCAGTCTGAAAGATTAAGGGCTATAGTCACTAGACATATTAATCAGATAAGAACGTTAAGTCCGATAAGTGCAAATCAAGGCGAAGCACAACAGTCTGTAAACACTTGGGTGAGAAATTCGGAGCAAAATAATATTCAGAATACACCACAAGTTAGCCCAATAAAAAATGTAGTTAGTCCAATAAGAAATATTCAAATTCGACAAAGAAATATGTCAAGTCCAAGAGAACTAGGGAAAAGAATAATTAGGCCAACAAAAAGATTAGTAGTGGAAAACACAAAGTCGAAGTATTACAGAGAAGAACCTATTCGATTTGGCATAAATTATATTGCGCAGTCAGATAACAGCAAAGGAAGCCAACAGATGAGCCAAGGCACGGGAGCACTGAGAAGGGAGATGATCGGAAATAGAGGGGATGTAAATAGGAAGTAAATAATTGTGATAATATTGTTTTTGTAAATTTTTGTTTGTAATTATTGTATATCCCGCTTTTTGTTGCTCACATTGTATTTTGGCCCTTTGTATGTATTTTCAATGTTTTATTTGTGTTGGCTAGTAGTATTTTGAAGTCCACCAAGTCTAGTTGGAAAAGTCGGAAACATAGTCCCGACTTAATTAAAGAAGGGAGGTGTTAGGGTGGCGGCTTAGTATAAAAGGCGAAGCCTTTTAGTAGTCGGAGAGTTAGTTGTTAGTCTATAGTCAGTCTAGTCTTAGTGTTATTCTAGTCGGAGCCAACGCATAGTCTCGCCTATTTCTATTGTATTGTTGCTTGTGATAAACCTTTGTTTGTTAGTCGAGTCTTTCTGTTAGTATCGGACACACCGCAAGTCGATACGTAACAACGACACCCCCGATTCCCAGGACGTCTCCGTTCCAAGTACTAAGGAAGCCCAGCGTTGCTTAACTTGCCAGATCGGACGGGATGGCGTGCTTTCAACGCGGTATGGTCGTAATCACTGTGTTTTCAATTTCTCAATATTTAAGAAAAAATTCTCTAAGGCAAAGTGGGCGGGGCTATTTGTTGTTCGCTGTTCGCGGGAATGGTTTAAGGCAAAAAGAAAATGGGCAATTATAAAAATGTGTGGGAGGAAAATTAGGATTAAAAAAATTTTTTTGAAGAATTAAATTTTTTAAAAAAAATAAAGCTTATAATAATAAACTTTAATCTTTTTTTAAATTTAAAGTTTATTATTATAAGCTTTATTTTTTTAAAAAATTTACTGTTATTATTATATTAAGCTTTATTATCAGTTTATTTTAAAGCAGCTTTATTCTAAATCTGATAATAATCATAAGCTTTATAATCCTAATTTTTCTCCAGCTGCAATATTTATTTGGCTCCAGACAATTGTCAGGAATTGCCATTGATAACTTTTGTGAAAGTGCCGCTGATAAATTGTAAATAATTTAGATATCTTTTGCAAAGGAAATTAAATATATAATAAGCTGTCATTAATTTTTAATTTCAGATTATTTTCGAGATTTTATTCCAAAATTATCAATATAATCAATATTAATGACAGCTTAATTACCCGCAGACTGGGTAATTCCAGCTCTGCTAACTACCTAAATAAAAGATATCTGGTTGATCCTGCCTGAACTGATGTGTTCATTTCAAAGATTAAGCCATGCATGTAACGAACGGCTCATTACAATGGCCATGATTTACTTGATCTTGATTATCTAAATGGATAACTGTGGAAAAGCTAGAGCTAATACATGCACCAAAGCTTTGTCCTCACGGAAAAGCGCATTTATTAGAACAAAACCACGCGGCTTCGGCTGCTTCTTGTTGACTCAGAATAACTAAGCTGACCGCATGGCCTTGTGCCGGCGGCGTGTCTTTCAAGCGTCCACTTTATCAACTTGACGGGAGCATAATCGACTCCCGTGGTGGTGACGGATAACGGAGGATCAGGGTTCGACTCCGGAGAAGGGGCCTGAGAAATGGCCACTACGTCTAAGGATGGCAGCAGGCGCGCAAATTACCCACTCTCGGCTCGAGGAGGTAGTGACGAGAAATAACGAGACTGTTCTCTTTGAGGCCGGTCATCGGAATGGGTACAATTTAAACCCTTTAACGAGTATCAAGCAGAGGGCAAGTCTGGTGCCAGCAGCCGCGGTAATTCCAGCTCTGCTAATACATAGAATTATTGCTGCGGTTAAAAAGCTCGTAGTTGGATTCGTATCGGTACCTTGGAACCCTTCGGGTGTTTCTGGGTGTTATCGATTTATCGTAATGTTCGGTTTTGAGTCCTTAACAGGATTCTTAACAGTCATTGCAAGTTTACTTTGAACAAATCAGAGTGCTTCAAACAGGCGTTTTCGCTTGAATGATCGTGCATGGAATAATAGAAAACGATTTCGGTTCAGTTTTATTGGTTTTACGGACTGAGATAATGGTTAACAGAGACAAACGGGGGCATTTGTATGGCCCCGTGAGAGGTGAAATTCTTGGACCGTGGCCAGACAAACTACAGCGAAAGCATTTGCCAAGAATGTCTTCATTAATCAAGAACGAAAGTCAGAGGTTCGAAGGCGATCAGATACCGCCCTAGTTCTGACCGTAAACGATGCCAACTAGCGATCCGCTGATGGAAATTATATTGCCTTGGTGGGGAGCTTCCCGGAAACGAAAGTCTTCCGGTTCCGGGGGAAGTATGGTTGCAAAGCTGAAACTTAAAGGAATTGACGGAAGGGCACCACCAGGAGTGGAGCCTGCGGCTTAATTTGACTCAACACGGGGAAACTCACCCGGCCCGGACACTGTGAGGATTGACAGATTGATAGCTTTTTCATGATTCAGTGGATGGTGGTGCATGGCCGTTCTTAGTTCGTGGAGTGATTTGTCTGGTTTATTCCGATAACGAGCGAGACTCTAACCTACTAAATAGTTAATCGGATCGTCACAGACTCATAAACCAAAAATGCCTGGTGAAATTTGATTGCCTGGGGGAACCCTATTGCCTGAACCCTACGACACTTGGTCAATTGCACTTTGGTCTACTTTGCCTGAGACTATAATGAGTTTAAGACTTAATGAGCCTCTTAAGTGAGGACGCCAGCACTCTTTTTTTCTCTATATTTTAAAAAAAAACAAAATTCCTAGCCTTTCCGGTGGATCACTAGGCTCGTGGATCGATGAAGAACGCAGCAAACTGCGATAAGTTTTGCGAACTGCAGCAGCCTTGAGCATAAAAGTTTTGAACGCATATTGCCGCATAGGGGTCAAACCCTTTGCTATGTCTGGTTCAGGGTCATTTTCTTTCAAAGCGAAAGCTTTATTGTATAATTGCTTTTGTGGCTTCTTTATGTTTTAAATTGATTGTTAGATATGTTTAATTGTTCGCATGTATCATCAACAATATTAATTTTTTGACCTGAACTCAGTCGAGAGCACCCGCTGAACTTAAGCATATCAGTAAGCGGAGGAAAAGAAACTAAACAGGATTCCCCCAGTAACGGCGAGTGAATAGGGAAATGTCCATCGCTAAATCATTTTGCCTAAGGCATTATGAGGTGTAGCGTATAAGCCGTAATTTTTAATCTTTTGTCTCAAATAAGTCCCCTTGACAGGGGTTCCACAGAAGGTGCAAGTCCTGTACATTGAGATAATTGATCGATATTTACGTGCTTTAGAGTCGGGTTGTTTGGGATCGCAGCCCAAAGTCGGTGGTAAACTTCATCTAAGACTCAATATTGCCACGAGACCGATAGCAAACAAGTACTGTGAAGGAAAGTTGCAAAGCACTTTGAAGAGAGAGTTAAAGAGGACGTGAAACCGGAGAGGTGGAAACGGATAGAGTCGGCGTATCTTTCAAGTATTCATTTACATTATTTTTATGTTGTGATCTCTGAGCTCCAGATTGGGACAGAAAGAAGCATCATAATTTTCTGTGATGCATTTGCTTGTTTGGTGCTTGGGGATGTTTGAGGCAGATTTGTAACCGCCGTTTTGAGGCCAGCTTGCTGGTACCCAAACAGCGTTAGCATCTTTTGTCTTGGACATTTGAGTATGGCTTACGGGCATTTATTGGTTCGATCTGATTGTAAGTTACGGTCGCATGCGACACGTGCTTTTCATTTAGATCGGTCCAGTTAATGCTCTCGTACTCGCTCCCCATGTAAAAGCCGGTCATCTATCCGACCCGTCTTGAAACACGGACCAAGGAGTTTATCGTGTGCGCAAGTTTTTGGGTGTTAAAAACCTAAAAGCGAAATGAAAGTAAATGGCTCTTTAGAGTCTGATGTGAGATCTTGTAAAAAAGGGCAGCATGGCCCCATTCTAACTGTTTACAGTAGGGTGGAGGAAGAGCGTACGCGGTGAGACCCGAAAGATGGTGAACTATTCCTGAGCAGGACGAAGCCAGAGGAAACTCTGGTGGAAGTCCGAAGCGGTTCTGACGTGCAAATCGATCGTCTGACTTGGGTATAGGGGCGAAAGACTAATCGAACCATCTAGTAGCTGGTTCCCTCTGAAGTTTCCCCCAGGATAGCTGGAGCTCATTAGTAGTTATACTCGGTAAAGCGAATGATTAGAGGACTTGGGAACGAAATGTTCTTAACCTATTCTCAAACTCTAAATGGGTATGATGTCAAAGTTGCTTGATTTTGAACTTTGGCGTTGAATACTAGTTCCAAGTGGGCCATTTTTGGTAAGCAGAACTGGCGATGTGGGATGAACCAAACGCGGAGTTGAGGTGCCAAAGTGCCCGCTCATTAGACACCATAAAAGGTGTTGGTTGATACAGACAGCAGGACGGTGGCCATGGAAGTCGGAATCCGCTAAGGAGTGTGTAACAACTCACCTGCCGAATCAACTAGCCCTGAAAATGGATGGCGCTGGAGCGGGCCACCTATACTCTGCCGTCATATGCTTGTATTTTCCGTGAAAAGTCTTGCAATGACGTGTAAGAGGGTCGTAGTGGTTGCAATGAAGGCTTTGGGTGTGCACCCAGCTGGAGCTTCCACTAGTGCAGATCTTGGTGGTAGTAGCAAATATTCAAGTGAGATCCTTGAAGACTGAAGTGGAGAAGGGTTCCACGTGAACAGTAGTTGAATGTGGGTCAGTCGATCCTAAGGCACCGGCTAAAGCCGTCTAGACACTGCGGGGAGATGAGATACTTAACGGTATATTGTCTACTCGGTTGCCGAAAGGGAAGTGGGTTAATATTCCCACACCAGGCATGGGAGATGGTGATCCGCAAGGATTACTTT